CCCCCCAACACACACACACACAGAGCAACACGCACTAAAAGAAAAAAATAGAAACACAACTCCAACTGGAAAGGTAAGTAAATGAAAGAAACTAGGCACGAGTTGCATTTGCCAGGCACTAGAATTAACATATTAATATTTATTTAACTTGATTGATATGGTTCATTTGTTGGGTTTTCAAAATTCAAATTACCTGCTGATTCTGTGTTTTGTATGTTAGCCTAGGCCATGCNNTTTTGTATGTTAGCCTAGGCCATGCATGCCAGGGTTTCTGGTAAGCGTCAAAGGTACTCAGATCGTCTGCTTTCTAAAAGCGTGCTTTAAGTTCCAAATTATCCCTTGTGACATCACAGTTACGTAGATAATTTATCCTGCTTTTTGACATACGCATTTAAGGAGCAACAAAGATGGATGTTGAAGTATTTAACCGCTGTTTCTGAAGGTTTTAAAGCAAGAAAAATATGATCGAGATAAATAGTATAGCATGAATGCATATCTTGAATTCTCTGAACTTATTCATATAATACAAAGTAAAATATGAATTAAAAATGTCACTTGATTGTCTGAGGCTATGCAACTAACACTTCCTGCTATAGTAAACCATATAATTCTAATGCAGATTTAATCCAACATTCCTACTTTTCCTTTTCTTTTCAAACTTAAAAGTAGCTTTTTTAAACATCTGTCATTTTGGTTATCATTCAGGAATTTGTGGACGCAAGGAGAACTGCTGGACTTGGCAATGCCCCTCAATGTTTGTGGTCTCCTTCTCCCCCGCAAGAACTGAAAGGAGCTCCTGCTGAAGCATTATTGGCAAATGCTGGATTTGTCAGTTTTGGTAATGCCCGATAATTTTTTTTACTAGTTTTCTTCACCTATAAATCTCTCTACTTTCCCTGATTCAAGATTGTGTTTGAGGAGCAGTCATTTCCCCACGTCATGTGGAAGGCAGAAAGCTGGACAGAACTGTTTGGAGCTTATCAACATTTCATGCTTATGTTAGTTACCATGTCAAGGTGAGAATTTCTTCACCCCGAGTGTATTTCTTTAACATTATCCCAACACTCACTACTTGGGAGTTAGAATGGTAGTGTTGTCCACAAATTAACCTCCTGCTAAATTAACCTGGGCTCTGTAGACAGTTTACAACTTTACATGCAAGAAGTCAAAAGCACGTCAAAGTGTAAAAAGATTAACACGGGGAATCGGCTATTAGCATATAAAGTAAGCAACAACAAAGAAGCATGAAAAGAACCACAATGATTTAAGATAAAATGAACTTATAGAAAAGAGAGATGCTCTAATACCAATCTTATTGAAGAGAAAAAGGAATCGGCACAAGGGAGAAGAATAAAGAGAACTAATGGTAGTTATGACTTATGAACAGATTAGGCTTTCGAGACAATGGAGCTAAGCCCCTGTTTGATGGCCATTATTTGGCAAAAACTTTGTTTTAAATAGTGAATTTTTGGAGAGAATGTGGTTAAAAAGTAGGAAAATTTTGGGTTTACGTGCAAAATATTTTATAGTGTGAATGTGTGGAAAATGAGTACGTAGACTAAAGAGTTTTGAAATAATGGTTGTCAAATAGAGGCTAAAGAAAATATGATACCTCAGCAATAAAACTGAATTTCTACTGATACAGTGTGAGGAGTATTTATAGCATGTTTTAACTTCTGTGTTTCCCTTAAAAGTGACAAAAAGAAGTAAAATGAACCAAAGTACATGAAAGTTAGGCTGCATATCGAGTTGTTTTCTAATTGCCACATCAACATGGTGCATATATGGACCCTGAACAAGTACAATTTTGAAACTATGATGAAAGGTAAATGCCATAATATGTGCTTCAATAACCTGAAACGGGAAACAATTGCTAAAAAAATTTTCCTTCATAATAAACATCGAGAATTCAGGTGCGAAGAAGTGAAGTAATGAAATTGTAATTCAAGTTTTCTCTTATATATCTAAGATCTATATCAACCTTGCGCTTAATTGAACTTACTTTGAGAATGTGATATATGTTATTTTCCATTTTATCTGTATGTCTTATGGTGAACAGTGTTCAGAAGGCTTCATGCATACTCGGATGAGGCGACGTGTAGAGTCACTGATAGAGGTAGTCTTTAATCTCAATGACTCTCTCTTTCACTGATGAATCTTTTGTTCAGATAAATATCTCTTTCTGCATTCTGAATATATTGCATCTAGTAGGCATCACTTATTAGAATAATTGAATGATGAAATCAAGAATGACCTCAACTTTTTTTAAAAAAAATAAAATAAAATAAAGGGGAAATTAGGGCTGGGCTCCCCAACCTTTCAAAGGTTAGTTTTTCACTCCCCAACCTACTGAACTCTATGAGATTAGATGTCCACGTAAAGGAAAGTGTTAGTTTTAGGTTTAAAAAGTCAAATTTTGTGTTGTTGAAAAGATTATGGTGCCCATGTTCAGAATTAAACATAGTAAATTATGTTTCAGAAAAAAAAAAATTAAATAATTGTCTTCTTCATGAACCCCCATCCTAAAGCCACGGCCAAGAACCACCTCTACCACGGCCGCCAGCTTCAACACACAGCCATAATCTTCTCCATTGCCGCTGACACCAACTCCCATCTCTGCTGGCCACCTCCACCACCCTGCCGCTGAAAAAAAATCCCCACATCCAAATCTAAATTCAATTACAAATCAAACCCATGCATCGTTTATTCTCACCCCATTCAAAAGACCATCCCCAAATCCAAATCCACCCACCATTTTTCGCTTTAAAACGCTGCTAATGGGTCTAGCTGGTTTTGTTATTTTGAGTTGTTGGATCATGGATGTGCATTATTGATAATGAAATATTTTCTCTTATAAGATACTCTTTTGACGTCGTATTTCCGTGTTCAAATGGTCCAATGATTGCTTCATTTTTTGGGTTTATTTTATTTCCCCCCCTGTTTTTACTTCCAAAATTCAAATCTTAAGAGTTATATAACCAGAATACATTCTGCCTCAGGCTTTAGATCGTGCCAAACCAGATTGGAAGAAGGTGAAGAAGGCTGTACAAACTAGATCCTTTAAAAGACTGGTATGCAATGAAAGCATTGTTGCACTTGTAATGCCCAACTCTAATGTAGTATCTTATCATGCATCTTCCAATCTTTTTTTTTTTCCTTCTCGCAGAGCATCAATGATGGACGGGCAACTTCAAATTCCAGAAAGTGAGATTGCGGGATCCATGTAAGGAGCGACCGTCGCAATCTGTGAAGTTGCAGACGCAATTCTTTGTCAATCTTAATATCGTTGCTTCTGATTATTTCACATTTTAAGGATTTTCCTCAACAACCGTATTCTATTTTCTTTTTGACAAGATCTCTCAATGGGAAATTCCTGCATCATTCTCTACTTAGAACCTAGAAAATTGAAGCATGTCATGTTGTCTGCCAAAATATTTTGAGCCTGCAGTTTTCCATCCAAGTGAAAAATGGTTTTGGACCGGCAGAGTTAATATTAAATTAAAGCACGTGCCTGTTTTGTTGTGGATGAATATTTGTAATCTTCAAGCAAGAGGAGTACATGTAGTTCAACTACCAATTGGAAATTTCATTTATTTGGTGCTCGTACATTTTAATAAATTTAGTCCGCGTGATGTTAATTTCTGTGAGACAGAGTACATTTACTTCAACTACCAAATTATAATTGACAGTTACATTGGCCCTACCTCTTGAATGAGAATGGTCCCGTCCAGGCTTTTAGCTTTAATGAGGCGTTGCTCGATTTGACAGTAAGTGTTTTCCATTTTTAAAAGGTTGAACCCCAACCTTGAGGGCCCCCCACCGACCTTGCCCTGGGCCATTGTGGAAGTGTTTTCCATTTTTACGTTGGAAACAGTTGCGTTCCTATGTAAAAAAAAAATGTACTGTCTAGAGTTAATTATTTTTGGTCGAGTAATTTCAAGTAACCGTCATTGACGTTGAATCAGTCTACAAGTACAGGAAATTTGTATAGAATTGGTACAGAAATTTGAAATGGACAACGCAGATTCAAAGATGGTAAAAAAATATACACACACACAAATGCACAGGATTCTGCATCATGTACAAATTCTGTGAGTTATTCTCAGGAAATAACTCCATTGACGTTATACCTAAGTCTGTACAATTATACAATTAACGAGTGAGCTTCTATAGCTTGATAGTGTAATTTAATACTGATTTCTTAATATTCTTATTTTGTTTGTGTACGGTGTCAGTTTCATGTCATCTTCACGCAAAAAAACCCCCTCTTCGGTAAAGCATTATCTGCTCAAATATGCTGTCTCTAGGAATTGGAAAATGTTCATTGTATATCATCATTTTTTTAATAGATTGATGAGGTGACGATAAATCGAATTAAAATTGTCAAAATCTCTCCACTACTTAAACAATTATGCTTATGTGATGTGGGCTATTGACAAAAAAAAAAAAAATTGGCTATTCGTCCAGGGCCACATGGCCCCCGACAAACAGGTGTGTACAGGGCAACTTTGGATGAATAGATTAATCCTTAGGAAAAAATCATATCTAAGAGTGTTTGATTGACATGGAAAATATATCCTGGAAAAGAAAATATTTTCCTTATTTTGAATAAACAAAAACATATTCCCCCAAAAAAAATATTTTCCTTAAAAACAAGAAAAATTAGACATATTTTTACAAGTTGAAAAATATTTTCCATGAAAAAATAGCAATCAAACACTTCAAAGTAGGAATTTGGGTGGAAAACTGACATTTTTCATGGAAAATAAATGCAATCAAACACACCCTAAGAGTTTAACTATGATCCATTTTAAAATTAAGAAACAAAGTTTAAAACTTCAAAAATCAGATATTATTAATTTTATTTAAGAAATGATTAATTTAAAAATATTTTTTTAATTAAATATATAAAGACAAATCTATACAATTTGATCATAAATTATCAAATTAATTGGTTACAAATTATTTCTCGGTCACAAGTCAAAAAATTTATAGGTCACAAATTATTTATAGGTCACAATTTATTTATCGATCACAAAATCAAAACTT